GATTGAGATGATATGCATCTTTATTAGTAAATACGTGCCATTGGCTTCTTTAAGCTTACCGACTCGTCTCGACTAACCGTCGTGTTGAAAAAGAGCAAACCATTAAATTTCAACGCATTTTAGAACTGCCAGTTACCAGTACAGTTTAAAAAAAGCAGTATGGAAGTTTTCTTACTAAACCTTTAAAAAAAAAAGAGGAATAGTGGTAAATATAAATGTAAGTATGATTGTCAATGTTTTTTAGCAATCTCTAGAACTTTAACGAAATTATTAGTGTGATTTATTATTATACTCTTGCCTTTTGTCTCTTTTAAACTTAATTTGGAAAGATAGTCCAAACAATTTGGTTAGAGATATTTTTAATCGTAAAGTAAAAATTTTGTTTATTAATTATTTATCGCCTTAAACAAATTTTTGTAACAGTGCTCTTTACTCATGTGCACGTACAATCTTATTCACTTACAAAAACAGATATGTTTCTATATGAAACTAGCGACTCGATACCGATTTCTGGATCTCGACAACAGCGCCATCTTCTGGGTTCATATGTGACCAATTCAAACACACACAAAAAAGTTCATAAAAATCGTTTGAGCCGTTTTAAGTTTTAGCGAGAATAACGAACAGCAATTTTTTTATACATGGAGATGATAAGGGTAGCTTATATCTGTTAAACTGGGTTGGTAAATATTGACTTTTCAATAACGGTTGGGTGCTTTGAGAATATAACGAAACATTTTATTTAACGTTCAGTGACAGGATTTGGAAATGGTCTAAGAAGTATTAATATTTATCAATATCAAAATTACAATATCAGATCGTTATTCTTTTCTCATCTCACTTTGAGTGATGAGTGCTCTCTGCAGCTATTGATATCATGACAATTGCCGTTATTCACACAAGGGCACGGAGCCATAAAGCATCGCGGGCCTGGGGGGGGGGTTATGACATGTTTTAGGACGTGTGCCTAGGAATTTATTGTTTATATTGATTGATTTATAATGACTTCATGATTATAACTCAAAATTACATTATTGAAAAACTCGGTTAAGCTAAAAGGTTTTTTTAATTTATACTTACTAAACATGCTATTCCAAATGTATGAAGAGAAAGTTTTTATAAAGAAACATTTGAAAATGTCTTTCATATCTTTAAGGGAACGTTCTGGTGCTGACTTACTTTAGAGTATATCTTCATTCATCATCATCAAGTCCACTGCTGAACGTAGGTCTCCCACAAGGAACGCCACAAAGCACGGTCCTAAGCTACCTGCACGTTTCTAGGGCAGGCGGAAAAAAGTACATTGACCTTTGACGATATCATCGGGGTAGGCAATCTTTTTTGTTTAGGTTAATTTTTTATCCTTTTATCATTACATACATCATCAGAGTGAAAGATAAGTGTGCCGAGTGCGAAGTTCTTCACAGGCCCTATGTCTATTATTATATTATAAAGAAAGAAGATTATTCTGTACCTAAATGAATTAAAAGCAAATTAATATTAATTTAAATTTATTATTTATAAATCATGAGTTATTACAATTTTCATTATTACTTTAATAGTAGGTAAGTAGTTTAATGAGTAGGTAGGTAGTTGTATAAAACATAACCACTTCTTGGGAGTCAGGTAAAAAGACGAACTTTTAATGCTAAGCTTCCATTCAAATCAAAACAAATCAAATAATTTATTTGTAAAACATAGGTAAAAAGTTACAAGCTTGGTGGAAAAGGTATGATACGTAACACTATGTTTCGCCTACAAAGGCATACAAATATTTGTTTATCACTATCACTGGCACTATGAAACTGGCACTATAACCTGGCAATATGAAAATTAATTTTTAATAAAATAAAAATTTCAATTATAATTAGTATGTTTAGAAATAACATTAATTATTATCTTAATTATCAATTACATAAATATAAACATATAATAAATAAATCGTCCATTAATTATTGCAGGTACTAAAAACCATTCATTTTATCTTCAAAGTATTCGTTGATAGAGTAGTATGCTTTATATATTAGAAAACTCGAAAGCAATTTCTTAAATTTGTCTATATTATCAGTTTCTTTGATGTATTTTGGGAGTTTTAGGCGCCATACCCAGGAAACTTTTTGAATACAGGGCTGTTTTATGAGGTTTTGTGCGTAGTTTATTCCTATGTCGTTTATTATTAGCGTTTTCAAAAATGCCTAAATGTTTCCTTACAAACATAGCTACTTCAAATATATATAAAGATGGTAGGGTCAGAATGTTGAGATCACTGAAATGCGGTTTGCAACTATCGGTAACCTGCAACTGACATACTGCTCGTAACATCAACCTTGAAGCATGCATAAAACTTCTCATAATAAATTGTCAGAGACATTTGACAGACTATTCATCTGTATCTATTTCAGAATCATTTTATGATGATGAAGACGTAGAAGAATTTGTCACACTGATTTTAACCTAAAATATCGGCAGTCTTCTTTTTCATATCCGTTTTGGATGTATATACGTCACTAGACCACGTTTATTTTACATATTTGTAGATGTTTACAATCATTATTTTATCGGTTTCCGAAATATGCGACACCTTTCGCTTCTTTCGTGGCGACGTAAAGTCTTTATGAGATTTTCATGTCGATGGACCTAATTTCATACTGGTGATAATATACAAAACGTCACAAAACAATAGCAAAAACTTTAATACAAAACGTAATAATAAAACTAACAAACCAAACTTAATAAAAATGAAAACAACTACTATAACCGAAAATTTTAAATCTCAAACTATTTAGACGTAAGCGAATCCCGAAGCAGAATGAGGAATGAGAGAAATGAAAATCAAATGAGTTTTCGCTTAGAAATTACATCTTCATCAGACCTTTAAAGACAAATGCCTGTTTATTTTAAAGACAAATGCCTGTTTATTTTAAAGACAAATGTCTCTTTATTTTAAAGAAATATGCCTCTTTTTTGTCATCAAATGAGTTTTCGCTTAGAAATTACATCTTCATCAGCCCTTTAAAGACAAATGCCTTTAAAGACTGTTTATTTTAAAGTCAAATGCCTGTTTATTTTAAAGACAAATGCCTGTTTATAATAAAGACAAATGTCTCTTTATTTTGAAGAAATATGCCTCTTTTTTTGTTGGATTGGTTTGCCTTAATCGTCACGGTTGGCAGATGGACAATACGGGTAGATGAATTCTCCAACGACGCTACCACGAAACATATACTTTAAAAATATATTATAATATAAATAAAGAAAAACAATATGTAATTAAAGTAATACGAATGTATGTTTCAGATTTAGGTTCTACGTTTATTCGGCCTACGTGGAAAGAAGAACGGTAGCTGCTGTTAGAGTTATAGCGGCCACGAAGACACGAGGTGCGGACGCAGTTATTTGTCGCTTGTGGCTGCCAGACAATCGGACTTTAACGTTAAAAGCCAGAGTTAAGGTACATTTAAAGTTAGCGATTAAAAATTGGTAATTAAAAATATACAATAAATGACACGTTATTTTACCTGACTGCCCAGAAGGAGGGTAATGTTTATAATGTTCTACAGCCTAAACGGATTGATAGATTTCAAAATCCGGGGTATCTTTAGATGTGTCTTAGTTGTGGAAATGACATAAGGTATAAAAATTTTCTCTCTTTAGCGATCTTTTTTACACAGTCGGGTTTTAACAATTACTGTTTTAACCTTTAAGCTTGTTAAAAATTAATACATTATGGTTTCAAGAACTTCAAACAGATATCAGTATAAAAACATCAGTAGGGTGGTCAAAAATCTTGTGGGACAGTCCCGACTCGGTTATTGTAATATCGCAATTGGTATGCAACTTATTTCTCTTGTGTGATTTTTGGTAGTACCTTTAATCGTTATGCGTACTGTTAGCTGAACATTTTTTTTCCTTTTGAATTTATCATATCAATATATATATGAAATATATGAAAATATAATAAAAATGATATGACATTTTTATTATATTTTCATAAAGTTTACTCATGAGCGTTAATTAATGACGAGAGTTGTATTAATCTTCATTCTGTTTATCCACTACAGCCTATTATAGTCCACTATCGAACATAGTGAACATAGTTGCCACTCTAGTCAAGCGGGATAGCAACCGCAGTTTTTTCATTAGAAAAAAAATTGTTGTAGTTTTTATTAGAAAGACGCTACCGAGCAGTTCTTGGTTGGTTTCCCTCTGTCGCCTCTTAAGACGTCCGCGGGACGATATAGGGTAGTGGAAATTCTTACACCGCTTCTACACGACCCTGGATTGGCGAAAACATGACCTGTTTTTGAATAAGTTTGTTATCAAATAGCTTTATCTCGTTAGTAATAGAGGAGAGTTCTTAAGTCCATAAGTTCATACTGCATAGATCGGAACAAAAGTTAAATTTTAATCTATGGTAACCGCGGTTAACTATGACATATGGACGTTGAACATCTCAGTCCTGCCAGTGACCATGAGTGCTGTAAAGCGTTCGAAACGTCGGGTATCTAAAAAGTTAAAATATACGCGATAAATTCCGTAAAAACTAGTATTATTTCAATGTGTAGTGTTCGCGTAAATATAAGAAATCATTATGAGTTCTTAAGAGCTTAGAAGTCTCAAAGCCATTAAAAATAATATCGAAAAGGTTTGACAAAGCAGTAACCGTACGAAGCAACTATGATAAATGTTAAAAAGATTGCATGATCTCACATGAACATGAAGTTTTAAACAAGTTGTAAGATTCCGAAACCGACTTCTGTCACTGCAATCGTCAATTCGCTTACTAATTATTGATTAATTAATAATGGGAAATCCTCTCTATTAGGAAAAAGGTCCATGTAAAGTATTTGTAACAGTTTACCTCTACGTGAATGATAAAAATCTTGAAGCAACCTTATTGTGCGCAAATTTTTATCGACTCTAAAATTTCTGCTTATATTTATGTTTAGAATATTAAAAATTATAAAGTTGTTAAGTAAGAACGCATTGGGAAATACAAAATGGTGCGTAATCTACTACTAATAGATTAACTTTTTAAATGAAATGGTATAGTAGTAGCCTAATTTGAAGTATCAAGTCATCTCATTTCTTTCCACAAAATCATGGTGGTGGTGGATGGTGGATTTACCACCTAAATAAGACCTCCCTAAGAAGCCGCTTCCACTATAGAGGAGAAAATCTTACTCTAGCGTAGTCGCTTCTCTACACTAGATTATGTCCAAAAAATGTCGCTTCTAAACAAGACATCACATAGTTTAATAAATTCTGTGACGGCTAAACGCAGTCATAAATCAAAATAAAAAAAGAGCAAATTAATTTCGTCATCTTTTTCAAAACGATTTTCCCCAAAATAACGTTTGATATTTAGTGTAATTATTTAAGAGGCAGAAGTGACTTTTATTGCTTTTTATGGTGTAATTTTCGTGATTACCGCTATTTGCTTAGCGATGTAATGTTTCTTATTACTATAATTTAGAAAAAGAAAACAGAAAAAGATATGTCTTCCTTTTTTTTTAAATTCACCTTACACAAATATAGTTTACGTTCATCATAACAGCCCTTCAACAAGTCCACTGCTGAACATAGGCCTCTTCCAAGGAACGCCACAAAACACGGTCCTGAGCCATCTACATCTATTGACCACCTGCATGTCTTACCAGGTCGTCACTCAATCTAGTGAGCAGATGCCCTAAACTAAGCCTACCGGTACGAGGCTGCCACTCGAGAAAATTTCATTTTTATCGGTTTTTCGAGCTATATGGACGGCCCATTGCCACTTCAGCTTAATAATCCGTTGGGTTATGTCGGTTACTCTAGTTCTACTGCGGATATCCTCGTTTTTAAGACTATCACGCAGAGAAACTCCGAGCATAACCTTGAGTATATGTTATTAATTATTAATCCTCATAAGGCTGTTGTGAAGGACCACATCACAGGTTCATAGGTCATCACTGGCAGCACGCACTGGTTGTACAATCTAGTTTTGAGGTCTTGAGGTATGCCTGACGGGAAGATGTATCGTAATCTCCCGAACGCTGCCCAGCCGAGTTGAATCCGTCGATTTAACTCTCGTTCGAAGTCGGACTTACCTAGTCAGACTATTTGTCCCAGGTAAACAGGTAAACTCGTCAACAACTTCGAGTTTAGTACTCCCAATAACTGCCGGCATAGGTGTGACATGGACGTTACACATGATGATTTCTTATATTTACGCGAACACTACACATTGAAGTAATACTAGTTTTTACGGAATTTATCGTGTATATTAAACTATGTACATAGGACAAACTAGCCGTAAACTAGCAAGTTAGCCGTGTAGTGGCGGTTAAGAATATCCATTACCCCATATCTTCCCGTGGGTGTCTTAAGAGGCGACAGAGGGACACAAAAAGGAGATGGGCAGCAGCATCTTCCTAATAACAACAATAACATAATAAAAAACTGCGGTTGCCAACCCGCTCGCTAAGCTTGGCAACTATTGCAAACATCCACCCATGAGCAACGACGAAAATAAACGGCCCCCAGTCCCCGGCGGCCCCGCTTTTCCTGGCTACGGTGGCGACCATGGTAACGGCGGGGCAGGGGGTGCTAAGACTCCGGTGGAGGTTCGGTTGCCACCTACGACGACTCGACCTGGCAACGTATAACGCGCGCACACTGAGGACTGACGAGAAGATACTGGAGCTGGAAGAAGCGGTAGCCAAGTTGCGCTGGGATATTATTGGATTATCTGAGGTCCGAAGAGAGGGGAGGACACGGTAATCCTCGTGTCCGGCAACTTGTTCTATCACCGGGAGGGCGACCATCTGTCCCAAGGAGGTGTTGGATTTATCGTCCACAAGTCTCTCGTCAACAACGTTGTAAAGATTGGGGGTGTGTTGACGAGGGTCGCGTACCTGATACTCAGAATTACCACACGGTATTCGCTGAAGGTCATACAGGTCTACGCACCAACCTCGGCACATCCCGATGAGGAGGTGGAGGAAATATATGAGGATATTTCTAGAGCCATGCATTCCTCCAAAACCCACTACACGGTGTTGATGGGAGACTTCAATGCAAAACTAGGCACAAGAGAAGGCGGTGAGCTGAAGTTAGGGAAATTTGGAGTAGGGCAACGGAACCGTAGGGGTCAGCAGCTGGCTGACTTTATGGAGAAAGAGGGACTCTTTATGATGAACTCTTTCTTTCAGAAGCGGCCCCACAGGAAGTGGACCTGGTCGAGCCCCGACGGTTCGACAGAAAATGAGATTGACTTCATTATGACGACCAGACGCCAACTGTTTAGTGATGTCTCAGTGATTGCAAGGGTGAAAACCGGCAGCGATCACCGAATGGTTAGAGGCACACTGAACTTTAACGTTAAGTTCGAGAGGTCTCGTCTAATGAAGTCAACGCTCCGTCCCCCTCGTGCTCTGATCCAGAATCTCGAGACTTTTCGGCTCGAGTTACGTAACCGCTTTCAGTGCCTAGAAGATTGCAATGCAGTGGACGATATGAATGACAAGTTCGTGGAAACTGTCCATGCTGTTGGAGCTAAGTTCTGCAAGACCCGCCGCAGAAGAACACAAAAACTCTCCGATCACATTCTTAATCTCATGGCTATTAGACGGGAGATGAGGCTGCAATCTTCAACAGATTTGACAGCATACAAGCAACTGAACAGACAAATCTCCAAATGCATGCGGCGAGACTTACGCAACTTTAATACTGCTCGTATTAAAGAAGCGATCGAGCGGAACCAGGAACTTTGCCAGAGATCTGTCTGCCAGAAAGAGCCAACTGTCAAAGCTGAAGACTGAGTGTGGCAGCATCGTTTCCGAGACTCCTGAGATTTCGAGTGAGATTGAGAGGTTCTATGGGCAGCTGTACCAATCATCGTTGGAGCCACGCGCAAGTGTGAGTAACGATCCAAGAGCAAGTCTTACCCGACACTATTCCATTTATATCCCGGATGTCAGTCTGAGCGAGATTAGAATGGCTCTCTAGCACCTTAAAAACGGCAGGGCCCCAGGCGAGGATGGAATTACAGCGAAGCTTCTGAAAGCGGGTGGAACACCGGTACTTGAAGTCCTTCAGAAGCTCTTCAATTCCGTCCTCCATGGTGGCACTATTCCGGAGGCGTGGAGCAGAAGTACGGTAGTCTTGTTCTTTAAGAAAGGCGACAACGCTCTCTTGAAGAACTAGACACCGATTTCCCTTCTGAGCCGCGTCTACGTGCTATTTTCGAGTCATTACGAATCGTCTCGCACGCAGACTGATCCAGCCTCCCGAACAAGCCGGTTTCCGAAAAGGCTTCTGTACCATAGACCACATACATGCCCTGCAGCAGATTGTACAGAAGACCGAAGAGTACAATCTGCCACTTTGCCTGCGTCTGTGACTATGAGAAAGCCTTTGATTCCGTCGAAATTTGGGCGCGGTGCTAGAGTCCCTTCAGCGGTGTCAAGTTGACTGTCGGTATATCGAAGTGCTGAAGTGTTTGTACAGTAGGGCTACGATGGCTATCCGAGTACAGAACCAGAGTTCGAATCCTATCCAACTGCAGAGAGGTGTAAGACAGGGTGACGTTATATCCCCGAAACTCTTCACCGCTGCGTTGGAAGACGTTTTCAAGCTACTGAACTGGAAAGGATACGGTATTAACATCAATGGCGAGTACATCACACACCTTCGATTTGCCGATGATATAGTCCTTATGGCAGAATCCCTGGAGGACCTTAGCACTATGCTCAATGACCTCAATAGTGTCTCCCAACAAATAGGTCTTAAGATGAACATGGACAAAACAAAGATCATGTTTAATGTCCATGTCACACCTATGCCGATAGTTGTTGGGAGCACTATGCTCTATGACTAGGTAAGTCCAACTTCGACCGAGAGGTCAATCGACGGATTCAACTCGGCTGGGCAGCGTTCGGGAAATTACGACACATCTTCTCGTCAGGTATACCTCAATCTCTGAAAACTAAAGTGTACAACCAGTGCGTATTGCCAGTGATGACTTACGGATCAGAGACATGGTCCTTCACTATTGGCCGTATGAGGACGCTCGAGGTCGCTTAGCGAGCTATGCAGAGGGCTATACTCGGAGTTTCTCTGCGTGATAGACTCAGAAATGAGGATATCCACAGTAAAACCAGAGTGACCGACATAGCCCAACGGATTAGTAAGATGAAGTGGCAATGGGCCGGCCATATAGCTCGAAGAACCGATAACCGATGGAGAAGAAAGGTTCTCGAGTGGCAGCCTCGTACCGGTAGGCGTAGTGCAGGGCGACCCCCCACTAGATGGAGTGACGACCTGGTAAGATATGCAGGAAGTCGATGGATGCAGGTGGCTCAGGACCGTGCTTTGTGGCATTGCTTGGGGGAGGCCTATGTTCAGCAGTGGACTTGTGAAGGGCTGTAATGATGATGATGATGATGATGATGATAGGACAAACTAAAAGATCAATTAAAACTCGCGTTAAAGAACATATAGCTGATTTGAAGAATCGACGCTCCCTGAAGTCTGCAGTCTGTGAACATCTACAGAATCGCCCCCGTCACTACATCAGATTTGATAGACCACAAATCCTCGCTAAAGAATACCGATTCCTTCCAAGGATGATTCGCGAGGCTACTGAAATCAAAAAACATCCTAGTTTCAATAGAGAAGATGGCTGGGTTCTACCATCTGCTTGGGATCCTATAATAAATAAAATTAAATCCCAACCCAAGCATACAACTGCAAGACTTCAAGATACCATACGTTCATACTGTGTAGATCGGAACAAAAGTTAAATTCTAGTCTATGGTAACCGCGGTTAACTATGACATCTGGACGTTGAACATATTAGTCCCGCCCGTGACCATGAGTGATGTAAAGCGTTCGAAACGTCGGGTATTTAAAAAGTTAAATATACGCGATAAATTCCGTAAAAACTAGTATTATTTCAACGTTACACATGATTTTTGTTTTGTTCATGTCATCTTAAGACCTATCCGTTGAGAGACAATTTTTAGGTCATTGAGCATAGCGATTCTGCCATAAAGACTATATCGTCGGCAAATCGAAGATAAGTAATGTACTCGCCATTGACATTAATACCGTATCTTTTCCAGTCCAGTAGCTTGAAAACTTCTTCCAATGCAGCGGTGAAGAGTTTCAGGGATATAACGTAACCCTGTCGTACACCTTTCTGCAAATGGATAGGTTTCGTACTCTGGTTCTGTACTCAGATAACCATCATACTCTTCTGTACAAATACTTCAGAACTTTGATATACCGACAATCAACTTGGTACCGCTGAAGGGACTGCAGCACCGTCCAAATTTCGACGGAATCAAAAGCTTGCTCATAGTTTACATACGCAAGACGAAGTGGCAGATTGTACTCTTCGACTTTCTGTACATTTTGCCGTAGGGTATGTATGTGATCTATGGCGCTAAAAAATTTCCGAAACCGGCTTGTTCGGGAGGCTGGAAGTCGTCGAGTCTGCGTGCGAGACAACTCGTAACAGCAACAGTACGTAGACGCGGCTCAGAAGGTAAATCGGTCTGATATTCTTTAAGAGACCGTCGTCGTCCTTTCTTTGGAGAACAAGACTGATTCTACTCAACACTTCCGGAGTACTACCATCATGTAGGATGGAATTGAAGAGCTTCTGAAGGATTTTAATTACCGGTTTTCGATGCGCTTTCAGAAGCTCCGCTGTAGTTCCATCCTTTCCCGAGGACTTCCATTTTTAAGGTCCAGCTATTCTGATCTCGTTTAGACTAATGTCCGGGATATCATCTGAATAATGTCGGATAACACTTGCTCTTGGATCATTACTCACACTTGCGTGTGGCTCAAACGATGACCTGTACAGCTGTCTATAGAACCTCTCAATCTCACTCCAAATCTCAGGTGTCCCGGAAACGAACGAAGCTGCAGCTTCATCTACTCTCTAAAAACCATGAGATTTAGAGTGTCAAGGAAGTTTTTATGTTCTTCTACGACGGGCCTTATGAACTTAGCTATGACCGCATGTACAGTTTTCACAAGCTTGTCATTCATATCTTCCACATCAATGTATTCTGGCACTGACAACGATTTGTAACTAGAACTAGAGTAGCTTTCCGGGCTTTGGATTATAGCACGAGCGGGACGAAGCATTGAATTCATTAAACGTGACCTCTCCAACTTCACATCCAGGTTCAGTGTGTCTCTCACCATTCGGTGATAACTGGGACATCACTGAACAGTTGTTTTCTGGTCGTTATAATGAAGTCAATATCATTTTTTGTCAAACCATCGGGACTCGACCAGATTCACTTTCTGTGGGGGCGCTTTTGGTTGAAAAAGTTTATCAAAATAGTCCCTCTTTCTCCATAAAGTTTGCCTTTGGGTTTCGTTGTTCTATTTCAAATTCCCCTACTTTCAGCTCACCCTTTTCTCTTGTGCCTGGTTTTGCGTTGAATTTTCCCGTTAACACCGGGGTTTTGGAGGAATGTATGGCTCTAGAGATATCCTAATACATTTCCTCCACCTCCTTATTGAGATGTGCCGAGATTGGTGCGTAAACCTGTATGATTTTCAGCGAATGCCGTTTGGTGATTCTGAGTGTAAGGTGCGTACCTTTGTCGACACACCCCCAATCTTTATAACGCTGTTAACGAGAGACTTATGGACGATAAATCTGACACCTCCTTGGGACAGATGGTCACCCTCCCGTTGATAAAACAAGTTGCCGGATTCGAGGATTACCGTGTCCTCCCACTCTCTTCGGAGCTCAGATAATCCTATAATATCCCAGCGCAACTTGTCTATCTTTGCTTCCAGCTCCAGGATCTTCTCGTCAGTCCTCAGGGTGCTTGCGTTATATGTTGCCAGATCGAGACGTTGTAGGAAGCAACCGAAGCTCTACCGCAGATACTTAGCACCCCCTATCCCGCCGTTACCATAGTCGCAACCGTAGCTGGGAATAACCTTGCAGCCGCACCGGAAACTGGGGGCTGTTTATTTATGTCGTTGTTCATATTTCCATAGTTGCCACGTTTGGCGGGCGGGTAGGCAACCGCAGTTTTTTATTGTTTTTTTACTGTTCATAAGATCAGAAAGATGCTGCCGCTCATCTTCTGCCTCAGTTTCCGTCTGTCGCCTCTTACGACACCAGTACTTTGATAATTAGCAGGTTATGTAACAGAAAAATACGGCATAAGGTTGAATTTATTATATAATAAAATTACGTTTATCTAGCTAGATCATTAAACAACGATAAATTTTTAGTGATGTCTTTAATCTTGAGCATATTATCTGAGATGATTCATGCCGTTTTATTTCAGTTCATTATATATTTAAACTTTAATTAGAAATCAAATAGATTTAAATAATTTGAATCACAATTTAATATTGTTAGTCTTTCATGTAATAACAACTATAATTATTACATATTCATTAAGTTCTCATTTAATTGCATTTTCTTGGCTTCCAGCCCATTCGAGAAAATTGGAACCTGAAGTACAGTGCGACTTACGTATTATGCTTGTTGCGCGATTCGGGCGTAAAACCGCAAGACACAGTTGGCGCCTCATTGTCGGTTCTTGCAAGCTCTTCACCTAACCGTCATCCTACCAACTTGCTAACGGTTCTAGATACGGAGCCAAAGAGCGGCATTGAGGTAAGTTGCTCTAAATAATTTTATTCTTTGTGTATTTATATAATAGATTAATAATGATTTACTTTTATATGTTACAAAAATATTCTTGGGTAGGAACGTTGGTCTTTTGTAAAAATACCTACGTTTATATTTGATAAATTATACTTGATAATCATTTGTTAATACAATACCGTTCATCATAAGACCACTGCTGAACACAGAGCTCTAATAGATCTCATAATATATTATTGTGGATATTTCTCATAGTTGCCATGCTTGGAAGGTAAGTTGAGAAGCAGTTTTTTATTACCTTGAGCTGTTATCAGGAAAAAGCTGCTGCTCAACTTCTGTTTCATTTACTCTTATCACCTCTTATGATACCCACAAAATGATATACCTATTATGGAGTGGATTTTATTACACCCTACCGTAGGTGTCGTAAGAGGTGAATATTAAAACTCCTGGTAAGCTTTAAATTCTTGTGTTGTGTTGAGGAGTAGTTCGCGACAGTATTCGTATGGTGGATTTAAGCCTACGACTTTTTGAATTTGGGACACTGATGCTTCTTTTATATAAGACGATGGTATAAAAATTCGATTTACACCAGTTTTAAAAAGCATTGACTGGCGACAGTCAGACGTCATCAACCACCTTTCATACGTGACGATTAGTCAAATTCGCCCTACGATGGGAGAGGCCAGTAGAGGACTTTTAAAGGCTAATAAGAGATAAGATTTATTTGATCGTCGTTTTAAAAATGCTTATTTTATAGTTTATGTTTAGTATTAAGTGGAACTAAAAAGAAAGAGAAATGGAACATTAAAATGTTAGTATAATTATATTATTTTTGAATATGCATAAATATTTCTGAGAGGGTTTGCCCTCCTCTCATTTCTGAAAGGGTGAAACCCTCTCATAAATGAGAGGAGGCCTGTACCTAGCTGTGGGATGTATATAGTCTGCAACTTTAACTGTTTTAACTTTATGCATAAATATGTCTTTGACTAATGGTATACATAATACATATTATATTGCCTACATAATACATACATAACACGTATAGCCTTTTTCTTTATAACTTAAAACGAAAAAGGGTTATATCTGTGGCATCGTAGCTCCCAAACGGATGAACGGATTTATCTTTGCTTGAAAGTTCACTTGATCAAAAGCGTTCTTAACAATGATTAAAAAAAAACTTTTCAGCCTTTTGAAGATCATCAACTCTCTTTGTTTCGAGGGTTTTTATACTTTTCTAAAAACATACTCTATTTTACAACAAGTGTGTGTTGCCAGTGATGACTTATGGATCCGAGATGTGGTTTTTCACTGCTGGCCGTGTGAGGAAGTCCAAGATTGCTCAGCAAGCTATGAATAGGGCTATGCTTGGAGTTTCTCGGCGCGATAAACGTGGAAATGAGAATATCCACAATAGAACCAGAGTGACCGACATAGCGCAACGGATTAGTAAGCTGATGTGGCAATCGGTCGGCCATATAGCTCGTAGAACCGACAACTGATCGGGAAACAAGGTTGTTTGAGTTGTAGCCTCGTACTGGTAGGTGAAGTGTAGCACGTCGCCCCACTAGATAGAGTGACGATCTTGTAAGATATGCAGGATGTCGATGGATACATGGCTTAAGGGCTTAGGACCTTGCTTTGTGGCATTCTGTAGGGGAGCATATTCAGCAGTGGACATGTAAAGGGCTGTAACGATGATGACAATGACTATATACAAAATAGTCAAATAGTATTATAAGGTTACTTTCAGTTAGCAATTCTTTGCTGTTATTCTTCGGCATGACTTCGTGTAACCCATAATTTTCTTATAAACAACCTTAATGTATTTTTTATTCATTTTCATTCATTCAATATGCCTATCAAAAGCATAACTTGAAAAATGAACAACGATTGCCCCATAAAGGGGATATTCATAGTTGCCGCACTTGGCAGACGGGTTGGCAAATGTATTTATTTATTTTAGTTGATATTAACAACACACTTCTGTCCACCTCTTGGTTTGTTTACCTCTTACGATGACACCCACAGGATGATCCACTATATGGTCTTCATTCATCATCATCATATTATATGGTCACGCATTTGTTAATTCCTGTCTAACTTTTTATTATGTATAATCTTTTATCAATTTTTCATTTTTTCAAAAAAAAATCACATTTTATTAGATAAAATATAATCAACATCACTCCTTGCGTGTCTCTCTGTAAGATCGTAAAGTTTTTCTACAATTGGTTCAGCCATTTCAATAAAACGGGACAGACAGACAGACAAAAATATACATAATAATTAAAAAATTGTTTTCTAATGTCTTATTGGCAAGCAAATATTTTCTATAGTATTCAGTTCAATAAAAAACAGTTATTTAGAAATTAACAAACCAATTTTATTTATATGCTTTTAAATGTTGAATATACCTGTAAAGACGTACCACATATTATTATATGCATCTAACATGCATCAAAAATATTACGTTTATGGCATACACTTCCTTCTACTATGTTAGATGGACATGAAGAGAGCTGTGGATAAATTACAGGTTGATGAGTATGAGATCAAAAGGCATAGGTTTTATTAAACACTTACCAAAATTATCTATTACAGGAAACACTGCATGTGTGTGTGAAGCCATTTCACTTTTCTTACTCACGTGATGAATGGCTTCTTGAATGGTTCGAGTTGAATCGTCTGCTGGGCGTAAGCCACTTTTACATGTATAATGAATCGCTGAGTACGCCCGTAGCATGTTTACTCGACCACTATCGAAAGCAAGGTCTTGTAACACTACTGCCATGGAAACTTCCCATCGTTTCAAAGGTGGAAATAAGGTTAGTAATATGTCGCTTATATGTATTAAACTTGTTTATCTCCAACTTATACACACTTCCATATGTTTAGATCAAAATTATCGCATACGTTTTCACCAAGGTTTGCCTGAAAGAGATCGCTGTTTAGCGATAAGGCTTTTCTAATTGTTAAAGAAAGCGAGGTCCATAATTTTATTGGTTTGATATTAAAAGAGGAATGAAAATCGAGTTGTGAGCAGCTAATCTGAAATTATTTCTATCTGCGCCCACAAACATAAATTTTTCTTTAAGATTAATGATATTTATTTTGCTAGTGGTTTTATTTTAGCTGATTAAAATATTTATTTCGATATCTGTTTTCATTTTTAAATTGTTATGATTTTTTCAATATTTTAAGAAGTACTTTTGTATTTAGGATTTCAATTAAAAAAATAAATCACTGAAGGAGCACGCAAAAACCGGCACCATTTATCTTTGGTTAAAAATCAAAATGAAGATTTGTCACCCTTGAGGACTGATGTAGAACGTCTCATTGTCAGTAAAAATCCTCTGGTATTTTATTTCCACCGTACGATATATATCAGCTTAATTCTGATGGTCAAGCTGAGTCATTCGTACTGATTCCACTTTATTAAGATTGATAACAAAAAATAGATCTAGGAGGCCAGCCTCAAAGGAGACTTGCCATCTGTGCAAGCTAGGATTATAGTGCACACGTGTGTGATTCATCACAGGTTCACTCTCTATACCCCTCTCTCATACCCCAATGACACGGAAATCCGACAGAATCAACGGCTTTACTTGCTTTCCTAGCACGAGGCACGGCACGTGTTGCTCTGCACGGAGAGCAATCATTGCCAATTTCATGGCTTCGAGCTGCTATTGAGAATTGATATTTTGAAATCCGACTCAGGATCCAAACACAGGACCTCATGATCAGCAGTAGTGCTTGCGTCCACTAGAGTGAGAACGAGAGAGAGAATTTGTTGATATTTACTTATCTGTTGTGAATGATGTTGATGGAATTCAATTATTTTATTTTTAGAACGGAGGGCCAGTTTGCCGCGTTTAACGACTGCTTGTACCGTTCGATGTCGGTGGCGGGCTGGTTGCTGGTGATCGACGTGGACGAGATAGTAATGCCGCGCCGCGAGCGTACGCTGTCAGCGCTGCTCACCGCACTTCGCGCCGCCTACAATCCGCCTTCGAAAGCACCTTCTGCCTTCTTGTTTAGGAATGCGTTTTTCTATTTGCGATGGGAGGTATGGGTTGTGCTTTTTACTATTTTTTTATTTAAGAATACTTTAACCACGTTTTGAGAAATTTTGCTGTCTTGTAGGCGTTTCATTGACAAAAACGTACAGATGCTATTCCAGACGTGAAGTAGGAATTCCGCAATAGCGGCACATATAGTTAATTGCTTGCACAATCACAAACTCAATATCCCATTAGTCACAAAAAGTTGGCACATTATTTATTTTTTATAACAAGTACAACATAAATAAGGGACCTATAACCCTCAAATCACTATAGGACAGTGAAAGGAATTTGCTGCCAGTTGGCGTCGGGTTTTACACAAATAACGGCCAAAACATTAACGTCCAGTGGTTATCTGCTTAAATCGGTACATAAATGTTCTACCTTTGCGCTGCGTCTAGACCTCGAAGAGCGGGGTAAGGTTGCTCCCATAAAACGTTTATATTATATTCTCAAGAGCGTTTAGCCGCTTTACTATAGCTACTATATCCGCTTCGGTGAAGGACGCGATTAGGACCATATTATATTTGTGCGTGGTGGCTATATTATATTCATGCTCTCCGTTATGTCCAGCAGTGGAAATTGGGCTGGAATTGTGACCTCCGCAAAGGATTTCATATGGTATTCTAGTAAAATTCATAGGGTCATTATTGATACACTGGACTAAAAAAGGAGCAATTGCTACGAATATTGGACTTATTCGTATTTCTATTGCTCACAATGAGATAAAAGGTAAAAATGATGCAGTGTCGCAAAGTTTAGGCTCCAAAAAAAAAGCAAAAGTTTTTTCTCTAACAGGGATTCATAATCCCATTCATTAAATTACAAAATTTATTTACAAAGATATATATACATATATATATATATATATATATTTGTAATTTGATTCCCTCAACTTAGAATATCAGAATCAGTCGTAGACTGTCTGTGACTACTATGGTGTCGAATCTTATTATATTGTTCCACTTACCATCAGGTGGACTGTATGCTCATTTGTCACTCTAATCTATACAAAAATTCTTACAAAATCACACTCTCATTCTATATAAGAAAACTTTAAATTACAGGACGATGTAGAGGCCCCTGCGCCACTAGTTACTGCGCTCAAAACACGAAGATGGGCCGCGCCGCACGCGTTGAAGAATCGTAGCAAGTACGCGCTCCGGCCGCGTGATGCAGTGGAGCTCGGCAATCACTTTGTGTGGGAGCTCGCACCCGGGGCTAGTTCTGTAGGCGTACCCACCGATCGCGCACTTCTGCATCATTACCGGGTAATTAGAACAATCGTCAACTTGCTCGTACTTTTACATGTATCATGCAACTAGAATATCATCTCCTTGGCGATAATTTTGTGTGGGAGCTGGCAATCATTTATAGTACGTCAAGTAACATGTAATTTTGTAATATGACTTCAAGTATAACCACCGACCGTGCTTTGTTGCATCTCTACCGAGTAACTAGTGCATTGGCTGCATGTTTTTGCATATGCGCACGTTCTGCGAGAAAATTATATGCTCAGCAATTACTTAGCGTGGGAATTCACGTTGCTGCGCTCAACGTAAGACATTCATTTGATGGTGATTTCTCTGTAAGTTTTCAAAGCGTATTATTAACAAAAGTTTTCAAAGTGATTTATATGCAGGTATATTTTATTTATTAAAAGGGACCGTAAGCATTGGATAGTCATAACTTCATACTATATGCAATGTTTTTCTAAACTTAAAAGTAAATATTAAATATTTTTATGCTTACAATTTTAAAAATGCTAAATTACAGAATTAAAACTTAATTATAAAATCATTCTACCAACACTAACTTTATTAATTGTTTAGTGCACTAATACTCAAAAGCTTTATAATTTTGAGTTGCCGTTAAGTCTCGTGCTGTCTCTATCATTTTAAGTCAGTTACCGTGACACCACGAGACTTAAGTACATTTTAAAACGAGAGTAGGGTTTGAGTATTTGATCATAACATACTCTAGCGACAAATAAGTTACGAGCCATAAGTTTTTGGACAAGACAGGAAAATAGATTATTTACCATAGATCGGGAATGTCTTGATTTGTTAACAAAAATGATTCTTTTACAAATCAGTTATAAAAAATAATAGGATAGAAAACTAAAGAAGAACTAAGAAACCAAAACTAAGATTACCATACAGTCCTATCTCACGCGGTATAGTGTCAAAAGCGTTGGCAGCGTTTCTTCGTCGAATGGCGTTATAATATATATTGTAGTATGTATGTATATATATATATATATATATATATATATATATATATATATATATATATATATAATATAAAATCGATTTAGCTCTCTATAGTTCAGTTCAGGCATCTCAGTCCTGGCTCTAAACGAACGGTAAAAGAATAATTAGAGACCTACAGACGGGCCGAGCCTACGTACATCTATTTGGCATGATTCTGACATATATTTCTTGCCTCTTTCATATTCATATATCTACACATACATGTTCGTCGGTAAAGGGTTACTCTTAATTTGTTTCATTTTCAATATATTATCTTTGATTTGGTCAATAAACGTCAGTCTTAATTTATTTATTAGTATAGCTACGTTGCTACGTATTATGGCAACAGCACGATCACACAGAATATATGCATTGAATAGCAGCATAATGCTGCTGCATATGTGGTCAGTCACGAGGACTGTAAATCTTTGTTGGCTGGTGCATTTCATCTTAGTCCTTCTCTTAGTCTTGCATTTGTATTTTGGTTCTTAATAGTGGATGGTATCTATTGGCCACAGTGTCCACTTACTATGGGGTAGAGTGTGCGCTCGTTCGTCACCCGTTACTACTAATGTTCTAGATAATCTGCTTGACGAACAATTGAGTAAGCACTTGAAGCCTAACAATGCGCAATTTGGCTTAAGGCTTAAACTCTCAACCGGAAGTGCTCTATTGTGCCTCAAGCACACTGTACCTATCAAAAGCATTTGATATGGTATCGTATAATGTACTGTGGAAAAGTTTCACTATTCACCGCTTGCGGCGCCGAAGGCGCTTTTTTTTACAGAAACAAAATTTTGAACAGAATGCACATAACTCTATGCCTTATCGCGAATATTTAAATAATATATATATAAATGTTCGCGGCTTTGAGGTAGGACAATGATCACCCCAGCCGCATATCAATCTACTGTCGCTGATATTCGCCATAATATCATAAGAAGATGGTGCTTTCGTATGATATTATAGCGAAACGAGAATTGACTTCGTAGATTCAATTGTAGATTGAGGATAAATTTGACAAACGTTGACATTTATACGATACTAAAGGTTCACCAGAGCTTAATAGATATCGATAATAGCACCACCTACCGGATATAAAATCTAAACCAACTTGTAAATCTAAACCATACAGGGACCCACTTGAATACAGGACCAAAAAATTTCATCAAAATCGGTGAGTTTTAGCGTGACTATGGGACAGCAATTGATTTTTATATTTATAGATTACTATAATATGCATATAATACATATATAAACCTAATCTGGGTGAATGAGTAGTAATGTTGCCAAACATACAAATAGTACTCTAATCTAAGATACTACTAAACGAAAAAGCTTACGAAATTTTTGTCGTTACTTAAAATGATACTTAGCTATCACCGCTACGCCTCCAAATTTTTTGTGTCAAAAATTACACTCAAGTCTCTTAAAAATTTAATTTCTTTGTACGTTATCCCGTTAGTTTTATTTCATATATAAGTTGAAAGTTCATTGCGTGTAAATTTAATATATAACTAGCTTTTTACCCGCGGCTTCGCTCGCGTGGGTTTCTGCTGAGGAACATCGTTAATACTGCTCCAAAATCCACAAAGTTGGATTACTTGTGGAGTCGCCTCGCTGTCACGTTTGTTACGTCAAGTGGTACCTTTTGAATTCTCAGAGGTTTTAAGACGTAGATTTTTTTAGAATTGCATTAATAATATACGTCTAGCGACCCCTGTCACTTTTTATATCGGTTATGACTTCCGAGGTATCTTTAATAAGGGTAAATTATATTTGATTCAAAGTTACATTATTTAATGTTTACTCTTTACATTTAAGTAATTTAATTTTCACCAAATAATGTCGAATTTCGTTGTCTTCTATTAATGTACGACAGAGTATTTATTTGCGATATTCGTTTTATATCATTGGCTTATTGAATATTGATTGGCACTATAAAATAGTTTCTTATATTTTTACTAATCCATCAAATAGAGATAAAAACTTACATCGGACAACTTAATACCAAAGAAAGTTAATGAAATTATTGCTATGCCGATATACACCCAATAAGTATAGTTAATAAAAAGTTTCTCTTTTAGTCACAGTTTTGTATACACAGTACCTATGCAGTATAACAGTTTAGTTAGTTATTTTGTTAAACGTGGCAATTGTGGTAAATCATCCCGATGATGGCTGGATATTTTAAGTTTTTGATCCTGCAAGAATAAGTAGGTTCAGTAGCATTATATTTAATCTTATCAGTTAGTTATCATTAGTTTATTTAGCAGTAAATTGATGGCGCTAATTTTAGGTTGTAACTGTGAAAGCCAAAACTCTCACGTTATATAAATGTGGCCAGATCGTAGAATTGATCACATTATCATGAAGTGCTGGACCACTTCAAATACCGTAATCTTTCATGATAGCCTATTATTACTGACCATCTTTCCATAGTATAAAACAAAGTCGCTTCCCACCGTCTGTATGCTTAGATCTTTTAAACTATGCAACGGATTTTGATGAAGTTTTCATCAATAGACAAAGATTCAAGAGGAAGGTTTATATATTTATTATATGCATATTATAGTAATCTATAAATATAAAAATCAATTGCTGTCCCATAGTCTCGCTAAAACTCACCGATTTTGATGAAATTTTTTGTGTGTATTCAAGTGGGTCCCTGTATGGTTTAGATTTACAAGTTGGTTTAGATTTTATATAAGGTAGGTGGTGCTGTTACCGATATCCAGGAATCACCCGTGCTAAGCTCTGGTGAACCTTTAGTATCGTATAAATGTCAACGTTTGTCAAATTTATCCTCAATCTACAATTGAATCTACGAAGTCAATTCTCATTTCGCTATAATATCATACGAAAGCACCATGTTCTTATGATATTGGCGAATATCAGCGACAGTAGATTGATTGCGGCTGGGGTGATCGTTGTCCTACCTCAAAGCCGCGAACATTTATATATATATATATATATATATATATATATATATATATATATATATATATTTGTTTAAATATTCGCGATAAGGCATAGAGTTATGTGCATTCTGTTCAAAATTTTGTTTCTGTAAAAAAAATTGATATTGAGAAATGATGTCAATATAACGAGTAATGTGAATTAAGCAACTGTCGCATTTAATGCTGAAGTAAAAATCAACGCTGCTTGCTGATTGTTCTGTTCAGAATACACGAAATAGTATAGAAAATAATTCTGAAGTATGTATTGATAACAAATTTGTCTTGACCAGTAAATCATTTAGGTATATCAAATTATTTTTGCCTTGCGTATGTGGACTATGAGAAAACCTTTGATTCCATCGAAATTCGGGCGGTGCTACTGTCTCTTCAGCGTTACCAAGTTGTATTGACTGTCGGTATATCGAAGTAATGAAGTGTTTGGTACAGTGAGGCTACGATGGCTATCCGAGTTAAGAATCAGAGTACGAAACCCATGCAAATGCAGACAGGTGTAAGACAGGGTGACGTAATATTCCCGACACTCTTCACCGCTGCATTGAAAGAGATTTTTAAGCTACTGGACTGGAAAGAGTACGGTATTAACATCAATGGCGAGTACTTCACTCACCTTTGATTTGCCGACGATATAGTCCTTAAGGCAGAATCGCTGGAGAACCTAAGCACTATGCTTAATGACCTCAATACCTCAATAGTGTCCTAATGGATAGGTTAAGATGAACACGGACAAAACAAAGATCATGTGTAACATCCACGTCACACCTATGCCGGTAGTTGTTGGGAGCAATAAGCTCGCAGTTGATGACGAATATCTTTAACTGGGACAAATAGTCCAACTACGGTAAATCCAACTTTGACCCAGAGGTAAATCAACGGATTTAATTAACTCCGCTTGGCAGCGTTCGGGAAATTACGACACATCTTCTCGTCACCTTAAAACGTCACTAGGGACGTTCAACTTCAACTCTTGAAAATGTTGGCACTTTGGAACCGCTATTTCAAATCTATAACTTAACCACGACCGGAACCGGAACCGTACCGAAAATTAAAACACTTATTGGAGTATGGGTATTTATTTATTAATAAAAACCCATAACAAATCTTTGAATCAGTTTTAAATTTCTGATATTTGTAATAACTTAACAAAAATAGTAAACTGTAGTTACATTACTATATAGTTAGTTTACATTACTAGTTTTTGAATAAAAATTAATGTTGCGTGTAAGCCGAGCGCCTGTTTAATCACTATTCAACCCGAATTGTGAGTGAGAAATCTGCACGTTAAACAGCCTGGCCACGGGACATTCGCCGTAGCGAAAATTCGCGCGGCGCGGACGGCGAGGCGTCTAGCGACTAAAACAAATGTATAGAAATGTACGGACCATGCCACGCGTAGGGGCGACTGGCGTCGCGACCGGCGAAATTTACCGGGCGAATCGCGTGGGCGCCTGGAGGCACGGCGGGCGAATGAAACAAATGTATGAATCAGTACGGTGCAAGCTACGGAGTCGAGCGGCAGACGCGGCGAAAACCGGCGAATAGTATAGGGAACAAAATATTTTAGTTGTTTTCGCTGCGAAAAATGCCTTTTATCTCCAATTCTAGTTGAATATTAACAAGAATATAATCGCTGGTTTCAACACTCACTTTGGTATTTACTCGAAATTTTTTTCTAGATGCATTATATTTGTTGTGGAATTCTCCATCTATAATGCAATTTCTATTCAAATCATGTACTCCGCAATCTCTTCCAAATATTATATGTCTTGAATCAAAAAACAATTACTTTCTAAGCAATATCGAGATAACTTTGATAAAGACATTTCACTCTCGGCCTATCTGGTCGCGGCATCAAACGCGATTTCCCGTGGCCCTCAAATCGCGCTGCGCGAATTATCGCCCCGCCTGTCACTTTGCCGTTCGCACCGCCGATCTCCGTGGCCAGGCCGTAAGTGTAGTAAGGCTGTAGTGAAGTGCGTTCAGCCAGGCATACGCAGGGCATGTTTGACTGCGCGTCGTACAAATTGATCGATCGCCACCCTTGTCACTGTAGTACTAAATTGTGTGTTTTTTCGTTTTAAAGTTTTTTCATTGTCCTCAGATCGCCTGCGAGTATGGCGGTTTACAATGTCTGACGGTGCCTTCGACAGTGGACCGCACGTCTCACCGCTGGTCCGATGAGCTACTCAAACGCGTTAATGCAGAAAAGGAGAAATATTCAAGGACATGTCACATATAAATTAAAAAAAAATGCGTAAGCAGTCCTCTATTTTACAACCCTATAACATAGAGCGCTGGATTAGTCACAATAAAAAATATAAAAATATGAAAGAAATTATAATGAGAAACGCGTCGAAATATATTAGCATTTTTATTATTAAATACTATGCTTGGTACGTTAGGAGAAAACTTGCATTATCAACTGAAAATACTTTATTCTGTGGTATACCCCATTTCTACCAAGGAAGAGCTTGTACCACCCTCGTACCTATGTTTTCCGCCTAACAGGGTAATAAAGCGTAATAAAATTTTAGTCTTCAGGGGTGACAAATCATTTATAAACACATTTTTGTTTGAAATTGGTTGCAGGTGCACATGCTGCTGCAGTAGCTATTTAACAGCGTGATCGTGACCTGGTGGCCTATTTGACACCTTAACGTTATAAAAAAATCAAAAATCGTGTCAGCTATTTGGAAAAATTTACTGGCGTGTGCGGAAACAACAAAAAGGAAATGAAACATATGTTGTGATACTAAAACCAAAGCTAAAATAACCAAAGATTTCTTTTTTGTATTTTGTTTTAAAAATAGGTATATAAACTATTTTTGATTAGTGATCTACTTTCGATATGCCTTATTTTAATATTTTTGCTAGTATGAATCATGATCATCATATTCAACACATACCCTTTAGCAATGCAATCGTGTAATTTTAATAGGAATCGTTTGCCAGTTTTTATTATTGACATTGACATTGACATTGACAACACCGCAACTACGTTGTTTTGCATTATGAATATGTTTTCTTATTTTAAAACAATATATTATCATATTGTTTTTCTTTTTCATTACACCGTATCAAAAGTCCACAGCTTTATAATATAATTTTTATAATTTTTAAGTATTTTGTTATTTATTAGTCCCTCATGGATTGACTTAGAGGTATTTATTTATCATATTTGCGATGCTCAGTTGGCGGGTCAGAAAAATGCTGCTGCTAATCTCTTGTTTCATTTCCCTTTGTCATAACCACGTCCACGGGATGATATGAGGTAGAAAAATCTCTTACGCTTCTACCTGGGGATCGTACACTATACTAATAGTTACTGATGCCTTAACACACAACATAAACGTTAATCAGAAAACGAAGCCTACCATATCCACCAAAGTTGCACAATTGGACTGCTAGCCTGATGGACAGAGGGCAGATGGTAAGAATGGAAAAGTTGGCATGCATTCATTGGAAGATTTTCTCATACTCACCACGCTCAGTAGGTTCGGGTTTGGAGTCGAAAGTCTAGTACTGTATACTGTCACTACTGTGTACTTAGTTCGTTATTGTTGGCTAAATTTTCCGCTATCAGTAGATCACCAGAACCTCGGCTCAGTCAAACCACAGGGTACAATACAGATGAGGTTGGCATTTGGAGAAAAAATTTGGCATGAAGAATTCTAGAAACTGTCTAATTCGAAAACTTTGCCCCAAAATATTTTCCTTTGTTATATTTATTATATCAATAGATGTAAAAAAGGACCATAAATATTCATTGTTCATTTTTTGAGAAACGTACTTTTGACTAATATTAATTATATCTAACAAAATCTAAAAGTTAAAGTATTTTTTCAAATGGTGCCATTTTGTAATAAATATATTTCACAATGTGTTGCTCAAGTATTAGCCACAACAGTATTATTCAAAGTAATTTCACTTCAAATCCATTTTTTTAAATAATGATACAAAATTAACGGTTTCATTTAAACGTAAACAATACGAATGCTACTTGTAAAAACAGGTAACATCCTTATTGAAACTTTGTACTCTTTTTATATTTTTTATATAAAATGGGGGATATACAGATTTATTTTAGCACTTCTCAATATATCAATATAATAATTATATTAACAATGTCGTAGTAAGTAAAAGATTAACTAAAAATGTGTTAATATAAGCAAACATGCTGTTGAATGTAAATATAATATTTAACCGCGAAGATATAAGTGCACAGCCCCATATATGTATTAATTTACTAGTATAAAATGTAATTTACCTATTTTTGTCAAGCCAATATTCCATTATATTGTAATTGTATAAAAGTAATCCTTATTCTGACGATAATATGTACATATCTATATCGTTTATTCCATCTATAAGCTATTATAAATATTAATTTACGAAAATTCGATTAAGTAATAAAGTAACTCTTTAGATATGTTTATCACCTTATTTTAATTTTAATTAAATATCCCATCTTGGTGTTTATTATGGAAAAAATACCTTTACAGATATCGCGATTAGGATAGCAAATTGTCTTTGTGAACTTTGGAACATATTATTTTTTATTTATTTTAGAGATCCCATAGATTTCTCTCACAAACGAGAGGAGGCCTTTACCAACGTATGAGACCTACATAGACTGTAATTTTTACTTTACTTTTAACTGATGGTGTAGTTAAAAGTGTAGTAAAGCTTTTGAGGGCATGAATTACTTGTGTAGTAACAATATATAAGGTTAAGGCACCTAATTCCAAAGAGTTCTAAAATTGTCACCATATTCCGAGGTATTTAGAAAAACTGCGCTTACGAGCGATGTACATGATCTTTTTGACTGCAAGATCTCTTATTAAATTGATAACATAACTTTGCGTATTTATATCATCAAAGATCTGGAGTAATGTATTTTATGCACTTTTCGTTAGTTTCAATAATGTGTAGGTTCCTATTTCCTTCATAATAACTTTCACAAACTTACTTTAAAAAAGTAAGTAGTTGTTAACATTTATGGATAATAATTCACGAGCTACATTATATCATTTTACACAATATCCTGTCATTCTCCTCACAATATCACATTAGAGTAACAATGATGTCTATTCAAATAACATGTAAATCTAATAAGTCTAATGGTATATATAATCACTTTTATTTAATTTTTATAAGCAATCGTCAAATTAATTACATTTATAATTAAAAAAAAAACTATAAATAAAAGTCATGTGACAAACGTACAAATTTTAATGTAACACTGTCTGCTAAAAAGTTTCGTAGCCTTGTCTTAATGACGTGTTTAGATCCCTCCAACATACATACAACAGGCAATATTGCGTATTAGTGCTGTTTTTCCCCTAGGAATGTTAACTCTACTATTGTCGCTTCTGTTTCTTGGGACAAGGTCTGCTAGACACATAAAACGGTTCTGGTTCGACTTTACAAAGGTTGCTATTTCTAATATGTATATACAAGGTACAGTTAATATTTTATACTGTTTATAATCTGCCTTGCAACTATCTGCACTCTTCATCTTAAACATGGAACGTATACACCTTATTTGGACCGTGAATACCTTTCCTTTTTCGCAAGAATTACCCCAAAATATTACGCCATATCGTAGGTATGTTTCTACCTTACCATCATACGTAGTAAGGAGTCCATCCCTACAAATTATAGATGACAATTTGCCTAGAGCATATATAGGGATTAATTATATTTTTACAAAGTGTCCTTTTTTGTGACTTCCGATTTAATTTTTCAACAATTTTCAGTCCCAGAAATCTCATGCTTTCGACTTCGGCAATATTATAGTTATTATATAGTATTATGAGTTTATTATTATCATGTTTACTGAAATGTATAACCTTTGTTTTTCTTAAATTTGTTATTAAATTATTGTGATCTAGCCATTTTACAAATGTTTTTAGAGAATTGTTTAGGTCATATTCGTATGTATTAATATTTTAAAAGGTATTGTTATGGTGCTGTTATCTACAAAAGCGACAAAGGTTGTTTTGTATATTTAGGTAGGTAATTAATATATAATATAAATAGAAACGGTTTCAGTACACTCCCTTGCGGAACTCCAAAGCTTACTTTACGTTCCGACGATCGAAATGATTCGTCTTATTTATTAACCTTATTAAAATTCTTAATTTCAGTTATTTGTACTCTATTGTTAAGCTAAGATTCTATAAGGTTAAATAAATTACCCCTAATGCCAAAGGCGTGTAGTTTATACAAGAGGGTAGGGTAGTGGACATAATCAAATGCCAAAAATATGGCAAAAACTTGTGTTCTTGGTTCTTCTTAATATGGACATATTATTAAATTATTGTGTACAGAGTCGTATTATCGTCATATTTATTGTTTTACGCTACCTAAATCCTTTCTGTTTCTCACACAATGCGTTATGTTTTTCCAATATTTATATAATTTAATGTAAATGTACTTTTCAATCATTTTTGAAATTATAGGAATGAGTGAAATTGGTATATAGTTTTCGATTAACTCTCTATTTTTTATTCTTAAATAATTATTTTATTAAAGAGATTTTTAAGGCATCTGAATATATGCCAGCACAAATCCAAAGATTAATTAGGTATATAATTCAGGTGATCACGTATATCATAAGTCACATATTTAATTACCTTTGTACAAATGTCATCGTAACCTACACTACATGTGTTTTTCAGAGACATTATTATTTCATTTACCTCATATGCTATACTAAGCTCTAAGAACATAGACTTAGGTATAGTGTTTATAATTAATTGGTTTGGTTCATTTTCAGCATAAAATTTTGGCTGAATTTTATCGACAAAGTACTTTTCATCACAAATTTTCGCTGGGTTCGATATTACTTGGCTACTTACCTCAATTTATTGATATAATGTTTTAGAGTATTGTTTTTAGTTTGATTGGTTATCTGCCAAGTTTTTGTTGACCTATTTTTGGTAGTTTTTATTTCATAGTTATTTTGTGTCTTTTGAGTTAGGTTTATAATTTTTTTGAATATTGTAGAATAATTTTTAAAGTTTATTTTATTGATATGAATAGGTTTTAACCTCGATGTCCACAAAAATTTTCATATCTTTTTACTAGATAATTTAACACCTCGAGATAAGTACCTAGGTTTTTTAAAAACATTGACTTTGTGTAAGATAACCGGAAAACATAAATCATAAAGTAATATCGATAAAATTATCATATGCTAAATAAATTAGGATAATCAGTGCAGTAAATTTCTGA